TGAGGGAGAAAATGTGGAGAGAATATGTCAGGAAGGCAGAGCCATTCTCCTTGGTTGGCTGCCTTTCTGTCTCCCTTCAACTCCAGGCTCAAGTATGGCAGGTCTCCTCAGAGCTGGCCATGGGCCTAACAGTGTCATGTGCCTTGAATTTAATCCTTATAGCAAGAGCCCATTAGTTTGAGAGATTTGGGGAAAATATGCATAGTTTTGTCATAGCTTGAAAAAATATTCATTATTGAATTAAATGTTTACCAGATATATAGGGCATTAATTTAAAGTGTGATTTCTGAACCGCTTGGGTTTAAATCCAGATTTTGTCTCTTTTTTTTTGTACCAGGGATTGAACCCAGGGACACTTAACCACTGAGCCACATCCCCAGACCCCCACCCCCTTTTATATTTTATTTAGAGACAGGGTCTCACTAAGTTGCTCAGGTCTTTACTAAACTGCTAAGGCTGGCTTTGAGCTCACAATCCTCCTGCCTCAGCCTCCCGAGCTTCTGGGATTACAAGCATATACCACCACACCTGGGTTGGATTTTGCCTCTTACTGGTTGATTTTTTGGGGGGTACATTTCCTTGTGCCTCAGTTCTCCCCTTAAAAGAGGATATTGACACTTTAAGCATTAATGTATCTAAAATATGTAAAATACCTTCAATATGTTAGGTGTTTATTATCCTTGTTTACTTTGAAAAAAATATGACAAAGGTATTTGGATGGAGCCTATCCATGCTACCTTGATAGACTCACCTCTTAAAATACCTCAGAGAGGGCTCCACCCTGAGAAGCAGGGACAGACAAAAGTGATTCTCTTGAGTCCCAAGGAGAGGAAAAACAGCAGGGAAAGTCATTCCTTTTAAAATTGATATATTGACACTCTGAGGATGAACTTCTCTCTTTTGCAAATCAAGCACACCTACTATTGGAATTATTATTTTATTATATGTGGGAACAGAGTGTCTTTTGGGTAGATGCCCAGCACCAAGGAGAGGCATTATAGATGGCATGGGATTAGATTATTTATAATCTCTCTTTCTAGCTGATGCTTGGGGCCTAGACATTAACATGTGTTAAGTGCCTGAGATAATCCCTGACATAACCAATCTCAATCATGCATTTTTATAAAAGAAGACACCTTGTGGAAATATTTCTCAATACTACAAAATGATAGATTTAAGAATGGTTGGCTAATAATAACATTGGTGCAGAAAAATTCATTAAATAAAAATGTTTAAATTATTAGCATAGAAAACAATAAAAAGAATCAAAATATAAAGCCAGAAATTGAAACAAATGCTAAAGCAAATATCAATGAAGTGTTGATAATCTTCTTGCATAGAGACCCCATCAAACACTGAGAAAAACAATAGGACCCCAGAGGTAATAAACATTAGATAATTATCAGAGCAGACAACAATGGGCCAATAAATGTGAAAAATGTCCAAGAATTTAGAAATAAAAAAATTGAAATTAAAAATATGAAGGTATACATTTTAAACTAAGTATTTGGCAATATGGAAAAAATCTAATGGAGAATGAGAGGTAAATTGCTCTATTATACAAAGAAAACTGTCACTACTTAAGTGCTATTAGCATTACATAAAAATAGTTAACATCAATATGTTAAGGAACCAAATTATAACCTGAAAGCCTATTTCATAATCATTTCAATTATGTAAAAATATCTGTGCTAATAAACAAACAAGTCAAAAATAGGAAGTTTTGACCTAATGGAAACCTCAGAAAGACCAGAGGTGCTTCGGAGGTCTCCGACCCTCTCTCCCCAAACACCCCCTCCTCCACCTGCCTGGTGGATCCAGCCCATTACTCACCTCTCCGCTTTGACATTAGGCTAACAAGTGCGTAGTTGTTTCTGCACCTGTCCACAGCGGCGCGGTAATTGTCCAGGATGTCCTTCTGGCTGTTCAAGTACTCAGCTATGGGCTGCCCCAGCTCGCTAACTGCCCGAAATTCCCCCACATCGCTGTCAAAGCGCAGGATTTCCTCCTGGTTAAAGATGTATCTGGTCACATGCCACACCCGCTCTGTCCCATTGAAAAAATGACACTCAGCTTTCATCTGCTGCAGGAATCGTGCTGTGAGGATAGGAAAAATCAGTCTGAGGACTTGCTGGGAGGACACTGACATTAAAGGCAAAAGCAATGTGCTGGTTGGGGAGGAAGATGGTTGAGGGCACCAGGAGACCCCTAATTGACTTGCACCTGTCCCCAACCCCCAAGTATCAGCACCCAGGGGTTCATCTTTCATCTGAGACAGAGAACCAGAAGTGGTGGGGTCACACCTCTAATCCCATGCCATCTATAATGCCTCTCCTTGGTGCTGGGCATCCACCTAAAGACACTCTGTTCCCATCTCTCATGCCCATAGCTTTTTACCCTCTCTTTATGAAATACCATCTCTGACATTTTATAAACCCAGATGGTCTGCTGCACCTGGGACTCCAAAGACAGAAAAACAGACAAAGCCCCTCCACCCCTGGAGATTAATTCAGCAGCAGCTATTCAGATATTAGAAATGTCAGAAGAAAATTATAAATTTCTTTTATCAGAGATTAGCAAAAAGATCTAAATGACAATAGGGTTCTGGAAAAGAAATTCTTTTCAAGTAAAAAAAAAAATAGATGTGATTTGAACCAGATGAAGAATGTGGCATATGTGTATGTTCTGGGGAAAAGGGAAAGTACCTGTCAGGTAAAGGTAATAATCATGTGAGAAAGCTTGAAAGAACAGATGAGCTTCAGGAAACTGGAAGACACAAGGCACCGAAGCACATAGAGGGAGACCAGGAAGGTAGAAGACAGACTGGAGAAATCATGGGGAACTGCACACTTAAGAGCCTATAGTGCATGTCAGGATTTTAGATTTATTTGATGAATTTTACTGAAAAATATTTGTAGCAGTCATCAGTATTTATGCCTTATAAAGGAGAGTTGCTGAAAGTTAACAGAGATCAGGAGGACAAAGAACTGATGAAATATTCAAAACATTGTATAAAGAAAAAATGAAAAAATAAAGATCTTGAACTTGTATTGACCAAATGGATTCAAGAAGAAAGTGGTGAATTGATGCAACTGTGAAGCTTTGGTTTGTTTGCTTTGTAATGAAACAAGCTAAAACAAACCACAAAGAACTGAATTGGAAGAGGAATGTTTAAGTGTCACATAAACAGAATTCTTAGAAATAGCACAATGTAAACTAATGTTTTCAACCTTAACACCATTTATATTTTTGGGCAGGGGTGGGGGGTGCAGTTTTACCCGGGATTGAACTCAAGGGCACTCGACCCTGAGCCACATCCCCAGCACTGTTTTGTACTTTATTTAGAGACAGGGTCTCACTGAGTTGCTTAGCATGCTCTTTTGCCGATGCTGGCTTTGAACTTGTGTGTATCTTGCCATCCTTGAGCTGTGTGTGTGAGTTATGGGCATTTGAGCAATATGAGGGGACTGGTCTGGCATTGCACTGATTGGGCTGTGCACAGTAAATGTGCCTTTTCTCTCCCAAAGTACCTGAAATGGATGTGACTTGCCAAGATGTCAATCAATCTACTGACCCAAGACATCACAAAGCAAGACTCCACCTTTTGAAACCCTACTATCTCTTGTCTTATTTGGGTGGAATACTCTATTGAATGTTTTTTCCCTAATAAATAGATAGGTTCAGGGTGTGCTGTCTCTCTTGCTCTCTTTCCAGTGCTGTCCAGACGGGAGCTGATCCTTAAGATCGCAGAACCCTCCTTCTTAGAAACTCACATTCTTGTGTTGCATGGTTTCTTTGCTGTTTTCTTAGTTTAATGTTGCAGCCAGCTCTTTTGAACCCAGCTCCTCTCATCAGTGCAGGCAGCTGCTGAGACTTGTGGTCCTCTTTCCTTTTCCTCCTGAGCCGCTGGGATTATAGGTATGTGCCACCATCCCAGCACCACTGACATTTTGATTCAGGTAATTTCTCACATGTCTCCTGGTGGGGCCTGGCAGTGAGGTGTTGGATGTAAAACTTTCCCTAGTGAGCATTGGTGGTGTAAATCATCTGAAAATCCCCTAGTTGAAAAGCTAATGGACATTATGAAGCGGCTTTGAACTAAATGGAAAAATGTCTGATTAAACATAAGCCTTGGCAATGAACAAATTTGTTTGGCTGGAAAAATAACCAAATACTAGAATCACATTTCTAAAACCATTCATAATGGCCAACAAGAGAGTGTTAAAGCTATTACAGATTCTAACCAAACTATCCTTGCATGTGATAATGCTTACCTCAAGCAAAATGGGCAGTGACTGAAAAAAGCCCTAATCCAGGAAGTTTGAAAGGCATATTTTATTTCTGCATTATTAGAAGAAAAGAAAACAGACAACCAGAGAGAAATTTTCTAAGTGGTTCAACAGCCACTTTGTATCCATGGCTTAAACTTTTTTTTAATAGACTGTTGGGCTATGAGAAAATTGTAAAGCACTATTATCTGCAAAACTGCAGTATATACTGTATTCCTAAACTTCTTGCAAATATTGAAGTTAGGATTTTTAATCTCCCCAGTATTATACCTGTATTGAAATATTATGACTAAGATACCTTTTTTTAAAAAGTAGGGTGGCATCCCATGTAAATAGAAGGGAGAGCAGTAGAGCAAGCTGAGGAAAGGGACTGACAGGGAGGGAGAGAGGGATGGCAAAAGGGAGGAATGCAGCAGAACAAAACTGACTGAACTATGCTATGTACTCATATGACTATACCACAGTGAATTTCACCTCTATGTATGTCTATAAAGCACTAATTTTTTAAAAAATGTAAATAAATAGAAGGAAGATCAGTAGAATAGAGAAGAGGATCAGGGGAGGGAGGAGAGGACTTAAAGGGGAAGTACTGGGGACTGCAGTGGAGCAAAGTATATTCCATGTATGTATGATTATGTCAAAACTAACCCCATTATTATATATAACTATAATGTGCTACTAAAAATTTAAAATGATACATTTATGCTTTAATGATACTTATTTAGTATTTTAAAAAGAGGAGGCAGGAATAGTTTTTGAACTCTGTTTAATGCAGCTTAAAGAGGCTTAGAATCCACAGCTTTCTGAAAGAAGTCAGTTACTAAGAGTTTATTATGAAGTTAATAAATGAAAAATCAACTTTAACAAATGTTTGTCACAGACTAGGGACTGTGCTTATGACTGCAAATGAACTAGCAGATGAAGATTTTGTCAACTATAATGCCATTTTGAGATATGAGTTTAAGAATACAGACAGAAAACTGAATATCAAGAGGACAAACATTCCTGTTGAAATGTGGAATGGGCAACTTGTGAATGATTCATGAACAGGAAAAAAGGAATCTAAGAATAGAAAGGGTCAAAATGTATGAGCCTATTCAACATCCTATAAATTAATTTGTAATGTCTCAGTTCCCCAAAACTTTCTGAAATATAGTGGAACAGGAACATGACCTCAATAAAAAATATTCTATTAATCTCATGAGGGTTAGGGCTAAGATTTGACTGATCAGCTGAGTGACCAGGAGACATGGCCATCAGCTGAAACCTACATACCGGACCAGAACCCTAATGGGGAAGCACGATCTTGCTCAGTATTCCTCAGCCGTGAGGGAAATCCAGCACCATTGGGTCATACATATTCTACCTAATTTTGTACCCTAATAAAAACAAACCCTACCTTAATCTCTGGCTATTTATCTTGCTCTTAAGATTGCCCATATCCTTCTCTGGGAACGCATATTTTCACCTTTGATTTTCTAATAAAGTTCTTCCTCTCCTTGCTGAAACCTGTTATGTTATTAAGTTCTTTTCTGTGATGTTGTCAAGAGCCTGAAAGGCCTGGGCAAAGGGCTCCTCTACCTCTGGAAGACCCCCTTCTACTCCCATATATTAACATTTAAATGGAAAGAAAACCATATGAATATCATGTATGATAAAAGTTTACAAGATAAAAATAAAAATAAGCCAAAATAAGCTGCACAAAAAGAAACAAAACTGAGCATTGTTGAGCATAACCTGAGTGGTGGAAGCATGGTAGTGGGGACAGTGAGAGTCACAGGTGGAGTTTCCCAAAAGTGATATGATGAGAACAGGGGACCAGTTAGCTAGTAGCCCCAAACATCCACCATGAAACCAGAGATAATGTGGTGTCTCAGAGAGTTTCCTTATGGACACAAGTGAGTCAATGGAAAGAGTCTTCAAATGGTAACCTGAAGAGTGCTGCTTTCTCTCTTGTGAATCTCTTTCACTGAAATCATGAAATGCCCGACTCAACTTGCTGGTGATGACAATAATGACCCTGGTTTATCTAGGTTTCTAAGCCTAGACATAACATCAGATATAACAGGCATGGTTATTTATTAACTTATATTTAGCTTAATGTATCTTTATACCATAATCATTGTTTTTTATAGATTGGGATGTGGAAATATTGGTGTGTTTAATTACAGGTCATTGCCCTTTGTCCCACAGAGAGTGTTCTGTAATTAACTGGAAATGGATTGGTTAACATTCTGAAATCCCAAACCCCAATTTCTAAAGCACATCTAACTCTAAGAATTTCAGAAATGGAAATGTGGCTCTGTATATGCTTTGAGACACTGCTGATGACAGAATAAAGGATGATTTTGATACAGAAAAGGGCAAAGGGGAAGTGAAGAGATGAGTTTGAGGCTTCTACTGGAATAATACAAGTAGAAGATAACAATATCTAGGACAAGGGCAGTAACCTGGTACACAAATGGGATTTGAGAATTGCTTTGGACACAGTATCCCTGGGACCTATGGATGGATAGAATGATAATAACTGGCATGGACGTAAGTACAGTGTGGCAGGCACTGTTCCTAATGCTTTACACATATCATCTCTGTTAATCCTCAAAACAACTCTGTAAAGTAGATATTATCATACTTATTTTACAATTGAAGTTACTAAAACATAGACACTTTTCCATAGTCATATATTTAATGACAGGCCAAGAGCAAGTTTTAGAAATTTGAAAATCTACATGTTTTAGTATTCAACCACTATCTACACTTCATTTAAAAAACCCTGGATAGATAATAGCCAAGATATCAGAATACAGT